AACCCTTTAAATCTTGCTAGAAGCGGCACCACTTCAATATTCATATAGGTGGAATTAGTTAATATGTCCCTGTTACTCCAGACATTAATAATTCCATTAAGATTAATCAACCTCTTCATGTAACAGTATGCACTTTGGAGTTTGTCTTTATGCCCCTGTTATAACAAGCATTTAACAACTCCTTAACTCCTCATATAACAGTAAGTAGTACATTAGAATTAGGGCTCCTAAAGAGGAGATCAGTGCTTAAACAATACAAGTAACTTGTTATTACCCATTGAACTTATATTGTAAAAGTGTATACTAACTCAAAGTGGGGTTCCCATTCCTTGTATTTAATTTAAGGGTCTCAGCGCCATCTCTACACAAGTTTGTTGTACTACATCTCTACCTAATGGCTTCGTAAGTGGATCAGCCAAATTCTTATTTGATCTCACATATATTATAGCTATAGCTCCATTTGTAATTAATTCTCTTATATAAGCATGTCTCAAGCTTATATGTCTCGATTTCCCATTATATATTTTATTGTGAGCAACACACATTGTAGTCTCACTATCACAGAATATGGAAATGGCTGGCATAGGTTGTGGCCACAACTTTATATCAAGTAACATATTCCTCAGCCATTCTGCTTCTTTTCCAGCAGCTGCTAATGCAATAAATTCAGATTCCATAGTAGAATGGGAAATACATGTTTGTTTCTTGGATGCCCAACTAATGGCTCCACCGCCTAGAGTAAATATCCATCCTGATGTGGATTTATTATCATTAACACTTGTAATCCAACTTGCATCAGAATATCCCTCTAATACATTAGGAAAACCATTATAGCAAATGCCTAAGTGCTTTGTATATTTTAAATATCCAAGTACTCTACTTATTGCTTTCCAATGATCATTACCTGGATTACTGGTAAACCTTGAAAGTTTACAAACAGCAAATGCAATGTCGGGTCTAGTGCAATGCATTGCATACATCATACTACCTATCGCACTTGCATACTCCAACTGTGCTACTGCTCTTCCAGTATTTGCAGTTAGCTTAACACTAGAATCATAAGGAGTATTATACCCCTTTATTCCTAAATGACTGAATTTAGTAAGGATTTTATCTATATAATGTGCTTGTGACAAAGTCACTTGCTTGTTATCTCTTTTGACCTTGATTCCCAATATAGTATCAACTTCATTTAAATCCTTCATTTTAAAAACTGAGGTTAGATACTTCTTGGTCTCGGTAATTCCTTGTAGATTCGTACCAAAAATCAGCATGTCGTCGACATATAAACAGATTATTACTCCATATTCTTTTGTAAATTTAGAGTAAATGCACTTGTCTGCATTATTATGTACGAATCCGGTTGATAGTATTACACTATCAAATCTTTCATGCCATTGTTTAGGCGCTTGTTTAAGACCATAAAGAGACTTTATCAATTTGCAAACTTTCTTCTCGTTTCCCGGAAGAACAAAACCTTTAGGTTGTTGCATATATATTTCTTCACTAAGTTTCCCATTTAAAAGGGCTGTTTTAACATCCATTTGATGTACGTAAAGATCATAGATAGAGGCCAAGGATAAAAGGACTCTAATCGATGTTATTCTTGCAACAGGAGCATATGTATCAAAATAGTCTATGCCTTCCTTTTGAGTGAAACCTTTTGCAACTAATCTTGCTTTGAAGGTTTGGACAGAACCATCTGTATTGTACTTTCTCCTAAAGACCCACTTACAACCTATAGGTTTTGATCCAAGAGGAAGATCAACCAAAACCCAAGTGTTGTTGGATATAATTGAGTCCATTTCATCATTAATGGCCTCTTTCCAAAAGGCAGCGTCTCTAGAAGACATTGCTTCTTGAAACGTCTTTGGGTCTTCTTCAACATTTAATACAATAGGAATTTGATTACAAACGTTTGTCCTATCTCCTTCAACAAGAAATACTATAGATTGTGAAGAAATAAAATCAGAACCAAGATGTTTTTCTTTTCTTATTCTTTGGCTTTTCCTTGGTTCTATCTGCATATCATCACTTCTTTCCTTAGTTTTAATAATTTCAGAAAGCGACAATTTATTAGCATCAATACGTTTTCCATTTATTTCAGTCATTTCATCAACATTGTCATTTATAAATCTATTTTCAATAAATTCAACATGTATAGATTCTATAATGACATTAGATTCTAGATCTAGCAGTCTATAAGCTTTGGAGTGTTGTGCATATCCTACAAAAACACTTTTAATTCCTCTAGGACCCAATTTTGTTCTTTGATGGTCAGGTACTCTATAATAGGATATACACCCCCACACTTTAAAATAATTTAAATTTGGTTTTCTACCATTCCAAAGCTCATAAGGCGAAATATGCATACTTTTTGAAGGCACTCTATTTAAAATATAACATGCAGTTAGTAGTGCTTCACCCCATAAATTATGTGGCAAATGTGCATTAAGTAACATAGCATTAACCATATCCACCAAAGTTCTATTTTTTCTTTCCGCTAACCCATTTTGTTGAGGAGTATAAGGGGCACTCATTTGATGTATTAGGCCATGCTCTTCACAGAACTTATTAAATTCGTTAGGAAAATATTCTCCGCCTCTATCACTTCGAATAATTTTAATTTTCCTACTCCTTTGATTTTCCACAACAGACTTGTATTCTTTAAACTTTTGAAAAGCTTCGTCCTTAGTTCTAAGTAGGTAAACATATGTAAATCTAGAGAAGTCGTCTATAAAAGTAATAAAATATCTTTTGCCTCCTCTAGTTAATTCTCCATTTAATTCACACAAGTCTGAATGTATTAAATCTAATAGTTCTGTGGATCTTTCAACTTTACGAAATGGTTTCTTTGTCATCTTTGCTTGTATGCAAATTTCACATTTTATATGTTGAGTTTTACATGAGATATAACCATTTTTGGACATATAATTCAAGGAGCCAAAATTTAAATGTCCTAGTCTAGCATGCCATAAACAAGAATCAGACTCAACGATGTAAGCAGAAACATAATTTATTTCATTAATACTCAATTTGAACATGCCGTTACAGTTATAGCCTTTTCCAACAAAAACACCATTCTTAGACACTATTACATGATCAGACTCAATAACTATCTTGAAGCCTTTCTTTGACAGCAAAGCAGCGGACATTAAGTTTTTCTTCATATCAGGAACATGATACACATTCAGTAATGTCAACTTCTGGCCAGATGTGAAGTTAATCTCAATACTTCCTTTTCCAGCAACATCTGCCGCAACATGGTTTCCCATCAAGACTTGTTCAGAATCCTGCACTTCTGCATATGTCTTGAACATCTTCTTGTCATAACAGACATGAATAGTAGCACCCGAATCTAGCCACCAGTCTTGAGTATTTGTAGCAGCGGTAGCCACATTCAACTCTGTGACCATACCAATTTGCATTGCGGAAACCATGGCAACCAGTCCTTGGGCAGAATTTTCCACTATGTTTGCCTTTTCAGAATTTCCAGATTTTTCAATCTTTCTAGACTTTTCGGTGTTGCCTGCGTTGAAATTTATTCCTGCCTTTCTATATCTGCAGTCCCGAATCATATGGCCTTTCTTTCCACAATGATGACAACTAAAGTTCTTTCTCTTTTTAAAAGAAGACTTTTTGGAAACTTTCAGATGTTTGTTCCCACTTCCTGAACCATTCTGACTGACAAAATTGACTGCGGAACTCGAAGGCTGACTAATAGCATCACGAGCACGAGTCTCACTTTCAATTTGAATGTGAGTACGAAATTGTTCCACAGTCATTTTATCCATAGAATGTAGGATTTTCTTTCTATAGTCATTCCAAGAGGAAGGCAATTTCGAAAGAATAGCACCTATTTGAAGTGCATCAGGAATTTTAACTTCAAGATCACTTAGTTTTGATATTAAGATTTGCAGTTCATGAATTTGATCCATTATAGGCCTAGTATCAAATATTTTAAATTCAAAGTACTGCAGAGCCAGGAATTTGTCAATACCTCGTTTTTCATTCTGGTATGCAGTTTGTAGAGCAGTCCAAATCTCTCTTGGCGACTTCAGATTGCAGTAAAGATCATAGAGTCGATCTGTCAAAGTATTCAGAATATGGCCGCGACACAACAGTTCATCATGTTCTCGTTTCTTCCTTTCTTCCTTGACTACGTCAGAATCTTCTGCTGTGGGCTCAGGCATCAGAGGCAAGGCAGAATCAAGAACATAGTAGATATTGAGAGCGGACAACAAGAATATCATCTTGTCTCTCCAACGGGTAAAGTTCGTTCCATCAAAGCGATCAAGTTTGATGAACTCCTTCGGATTCTCAACAACAGACATCAATTTCTCCATAGCAGAATAACTCTTTAAGATTGTTAGAAAATAATAAACAAAATTGGCTTTGAGGCGTGAAAATCGACTGTCCTTAAAGAGTTATCGCCTGTATACTAATTTAGGGAAAATACAAAACGATTCTCTTCAGGATACAACAAAGCCTGCAGTAACACTTGTGATTTTCTATATCCACTTCGTTGGAATTCTTGTGTATTTATAGGCAACCAACAGACCCTTTCTGATAGGATGTCTTGTTTCACAAACAGACACGACTATTTATTCAAATTTTGAATTTAAAATTCAAATAAATAATTAACTCTAGGATCTCGTGCCTGTTGAGTTAATCTCGTGTCTGTTGAGTCAGTCTCGTGCCTGTTGAGTCAGTCTCGTGCCTGTTGAGACAAACTCGTGCCTGTTGAGACAAACTCGTGCTTGTTGAGACAAACTCGTGCCTGTTGAGATAAACTCGTACCTGTTGAGTCAATCTCGTGCCTGTTATGCGCTATTTCATTATGATAAGTTCCGAGGCTAACAGGCACGGTACGAGTAAGAAACCTCCCACTTCCAACTTGCCAATAACAAACTATCTTACAACTAGTTTATTACTAATAGACCCTGCAAATTATCACGTGCAACGCACGTATTCTAAAATTAGTATATATAAATGTGGTTCGACAGAGCAAAGAAACTACGTACACAAGGGACTACTTCTAAAATATAGTCCAGAAGAAGACTTTGATAACTGATTCACCACAAACAAACACCTATATTGTAGATCAACTATCAACCACGGATATATGTAGAACAACAACTTATTTAAGAACAATAGACGCAGAGAAGAAAAGTGTTTTTTTCTTTTCTTGGGCGCGGTGGGGGTGGGAATGCGTTGGGTTTGCACTCTGAACTTGATATAAAAGTATATACAAGGAGTTTTTTTGTTTTCTGTATTGTTTTAGAAGCAACTCCTGGGAGTGACTGTGCCACCACGTCTTCCACTTGCATTTCTACAGTAGGATATTGCAGGCCTTCTTAAGCGATCATTGTGAGTAAGCTTTATGTCTTGCAGTCTGATTCCAGTGCATGGATTTGTATAACTGCAATCAAATTTCATAGCTGCCTGTGTGGATGATGTCCCTTTCACATTCTTGTATGTTACTTGACTCACCTTTACTCCTGAATTCTTCATTTAATAAACAGTAACTCTAATTCAGATAGATAACTAAGTTTATTTGCAAATGATAATAATAATATTAGTTATTCTTTCATGTGCGTTATAATTGGAAAAATTAAAAAATACCGCTATCTATTAATTTTTACGTTTGTTGTGCTTGTGTTTTTACGCATGGAGATTAATCTTCACATTGCTTACAAAATTGTAGAGGAAATGAGTTGCAATTTGTTGGAGATGAGTTAATGATATATATATATATACCTGATGAGGGCAATTATTATTGGGACAATAGTTTTGGTCAATGATTATGGGGTACCCAACATTCTTCATAATAAGATTTGAGAACATGAGATTTTTAGCATAGCCACCACTTGGTCTTGCCCAGGACTTTACTCTAACGCCATTCTGTGTCTTCGTGAAAACCGAATTTGTTACTGTTATATTCGCAACTCCAGCTTCGTTGTAACTACTCCCCAAACTTCCTATGCTGCAAATGTGAAACAAACAATCAACACGATATACTATCACAAACACGTCATATTTGAGTCAGAAATCGTATTAGTCGGACTACAAAATAATTGAATTATTAGAATATGTTGTAAATTTAATATCAATAGACAAATGTATCTTCTCCTAAAAACGTGAAATTTTACATGACGTGATCGCATACTTTAATATGATACCAGTACAACAGGGCAAATGTCCTATCCTCAATCTCATCATCTAGTGCTTGTCCAATAAAAAATTCAGGCCAAAAAAGATGTGGGTAAGCTTAATTAAATGTAGGGAAACAATTCAATTATATTTCTCTAACGTTTGTGATTTATCTTATATAAGTATTTCCTTTAACTTTCGGCTCATAGGAGCCCCCACCAATATCTCTCGTGTCAAATATGCTTCTTCCAATGACAGTTTTTCACCGTAGAAAAATTGGTCAAGCCACATAGGTGGTATACTTGGACATTTTTAATTGTTCAGGGACTTGCTTCAGATTATTGCAGAGAATATAAATATACCAAATTATAAGTTTATGGGAAAATTTGGATCTTTTGTTTGTCTACGTGGCTCCACCGTCGCAAATGTCATAGTCAAATTCGATATCCTGCAGAGGGAGTGTCAAATACGGGATAAAATTAATGATGTAGGGTTTTCAGGGATCAAAAGATAAACAGAGAGCGAATGTAAGATAAATCAAATGCTTAAAGAGTAAATTTGAATATTTTTCATTAAATAAATTTAAAATAGATGTGTCTCCAATTTAACAATTTAATGTTTTAAGAGATTTAAATTTCCTTTATGACTTACATCTAAGTTCGGAAGGTAATGACTCGTGTAGATCAAATCTAACTTGCACCATAAGTTAGATAGACTTACTCTTATTTTTTCTTCCTTATATATACTACATAAAAATGGATTAACAATAAAAAAAACAAACGTTTGTGAAAGTAATCATTTACCTGATGCCATGTCCAGGTCCACATCCAATTTTTTCAATCCACAAGTTCATGGAACCAGGGCCAACGGAAATGCAGTCATCTCCAGTCTGGATGATGCTGCCGTAAATGGTAACCCCTCTTGAGTTTTGTACATGAATGCCATCAGTATTTGGGCTTCCACTTGGGGCTATTATCTTCACATTCTCAACTCTCACATTGCTGCTGTAACCTATTCCCACATGTACTCTTTGACTGTGGAGTGATGTTAAGCCCCTCAACAGTACATTGTTACACCACATAAATTGTATTGACTGCAAATACATAGACATTTTAAATCATCAATGTTAGAGATTCCTTAGACAGGTAATTTCTTTTTTGTAGAAAAATAATAGTACTAGCTTCCCTTGTCACGACATTAATTTCTTACTCGTTTTATCGTGTACTTATTAGTTATTATTATTGTGTTGTGATATAGACAGTCCAAAATTCAAGATGAAACTTAGTTTTCTATGGAATTTGATGCTTAAAGAAATGAAGGTGAGCCATAATTCACTTCATGGAGAAGAAGCTTCGACAAATGTTGAAATATCTGAGATTTTTTTCCTACTGGATAGATACATTTAAGATAAAAAAGAAAAAAAACCCTAAGAAGTGACGGATATAAATGAGAATAAAGGAAGTATACATACCCTAGCTCCTTGTGGGCAAGACTTTCCACCCTTTCGGCACGACCAATAACCATGACCCTTGGCGTTCATAGTTCCTCCATACACTGAAAGCCCACTTACCTTATAAAACATAATCCAGAACTCAGAATGACCAATTGCGTGATAATTGGTCGGAGCAATGAGAGTACCGTCAATTCGGAACTCAATTCTTCTCCGGCAAGGGCCGTTTAAATTCAACGTTCTTACCAAATATGTTCCTCGTGGAATATACACATTGGCCTGGCTAGTAGAGTGGCAGGCAGCAGACCAAGCGCGAAGAAATGCGGAAGTTGAGTCTGTCCTCCCATCTCCCCTAGCCCCAAAACTAACCACATTGTAGGCTAAACAAGAAGGTATTAAACAAAAGAAGAGCAACAAAGAAACACCGGTACATGTCATGGTTTTGAAGTTGGCCATGTTGATTGGCTTTTAGAGGTCGTTACAATGAAAATAAAGATTGTGCATTTGCCTATTTATAGTTATTCATATGGTGTCCATATAATAATTTCTTTTATGTCCACATGACAATAGATAATTTGGTTTTGCGCTAGTTCGGATGTAGATTTAGAAAGTGACTTAAATGCTACGGAAATGGACGATGGATGAATTCCAGGGATGTACATGTGCTCGTTATATTAAAAAGATGAAAAAAGGACAAAAGAGAAGCGGAAAGATCATGGGATTTAAAAGAATTATTTCAATTTATAAGATCCATAAAGAACGCAAGAAATGCATCAGTTGAGTGCAACATCAACATGTGAGTTGCCAGTTATACAATTTTAATTTTATCGGCATTTTTAGCTAGCAAGATCTGTTAATAACTAGAATGTAGAAAGTTACAAATGAATAGACGGTTTAGAAGTTTTAAGATGAATCCAAACCTTGTTTAAAGGGTAATTAGGTAATGTTCGTTTATATTGACTTTAGCAACTTGTCTCTAAATAATACTCTGCATGTATGTAATTCCGCAATGATTTAAGGAAAGATGAAATGTGTAATCCACACGTCATGGCCCACATCATCTCCATGTTATGATATGTACGGTAACCATGTGATAAGTTGGCTCGTATTTTGTCTACACATCTTGTTTGCTTCTTGCAACTTATCAAGTTGATTGGGCTTTATTTGAACTCGGTTATACTGTAACAAAACGGGTCAGACTCTGGTCGTGTTCAGCTCGAGCAGGATCGGACTAAGCTCGGGCTTGGTCGAACTACAACTCGTTACCACATTTGATACTGTAGCAAGTTCAATTGAGCACAGTTGGACTCGATATTGCAATCTCCCAGAGGCTCCGCTCTTGCTGGGCTGCGGTCAGGGGCGGACCCACGTAGGGTCAAGAGGGTTCAAATGAATCCGCGTTGTTGAAATTTTTTGATATTTTATATAGGTTAATTTCTGTAAAACGAGTATATTATGTTATTTGAATATGCTTGATACAAGTTGATCTTGTGGTAAGATGGTTCAGCAGGTTCAAAATCAAATGAAGGTTCTGAAGTAAGTCACACTTTACATCACAAGTGTACGTGGGCCTAATAAATGGGGGAGCTAGCATATTTAGTTAAGAGAATTTTTTCCATAAAACACTATCTTTTAGTAGTAGTTAGTCATCTATAGATACCATTTGCTATATTACGGATTATAGATACATTTTCTATGGTTATAAGATGTATTTGATATATTTAAGCTATTATATTCATGAATACAGTAGCAAAAATAGGTGTGAATCAGGGAAGCCCAGCTAATCAGTTATTGTATTCGAGTGTATTCGACTGTATTCATGGAGTGAAACATTGGATTACAGTTGGACAGATTATTGTATTCGACTGTATTCACGGCGTGGAATAGGGGATTACACTGTTTTTAAAACGGAAAGTGAATCAATTAACATAATAGACTCCTAATATAACTCAACAAACTCAATTATAACACATAAATTTTGTATTTTCAGTTATAAAAAAGTTTCTCAACCGAAAAATACCCCAAAACATAGCAATCTTCAGAGAAATTATATAATACATCTGAATACATAAATTATATTAATTAAAAAAATATATGAATACATTCATGGCATATAGCGAGATAGTGAATACAATGAAATACATAAAATACAGCGGGATACATTGAAATATAATGAGAAAAAAGACAGTGAATACAATGAAATACATGGAATGCAACAAAATACATTAAATTACAATGAAAAAAAAAGACAATGAATACAATGAAATACATGAAAATACAGTGTGATACGTTTAAAATACATTGAAATATATTAACAGAAAATCAAGTTGCTTAGCCCCAAAATACGTCGTCTTTGTTCAAGAACAAACCCTAATTTCCAGCAGCAGATGCAACAACAACGTCAGATGTATTTGTCACATGCTCCAAATCCCAATGTCAAATCTGGGTTTCGGAGTTCTCTCGCTATAGTCGCTATTGTTTCTCAAAATTGTGTTTCAATGGCGGTAGCGAGTGGCTTAACAACCTCTTTTGTAGGTGACAGTTTTCATTGTGATAATTTAAGTTCTACGTCTTTTTCTTTGTCTTTTTCTCCTTCTGTGGGTTGTTTTCGTCGTCAAGTTAGATTATTCGGGAACGGTCGGAGAATTAAACCGGTGGTTTATTTGACGAAATCACATTCTTTAAGCCCTAGATGTGAGGTTGCTTCGAACTTGGTGGTTAATAATGGTGAAAAGGAATCTAACCACAGAGATAAAGAAAATAGTATAACTGAATAGCGTATTTAATGGCTTAGGGGTAGGAGGTACCAAAATTAGATATTTTGCTATAAATAGTAAAAGGTATCTATAGAATATAATTTTTTAAATGGTATTTATTTAAAATAAATAAGGTGTTAACCTTTGCTATCGGAGAGGTAAAATTCCTTTAATTAATTCTTTTTTTCAAAATGAAGAGCTAGCTAGTTTATTCTTTTAGTTTGTTTTTTTATCTCTATCTTCTAATTTATTTCTATTTTGATCTTATATTTGATCTCCTACTCAATCCAATAAGAATTAATCTACAGTCTATTTAACTTCATAATATCAAAAAGATTTACAAAGTAAAATCTTACATTATTTTTGATAAAATATGCAAATACAAATCTTGAAATTATTTTAATTTGTTACTTATATTAAACTAGTTTATCCTAAATAGTTTATTTACGTTACATAGATTGTTAGTTCACTTTATAAGTCATCTTCCCATATAGTTTCTTGCAGTTTATTTCTAGTTATAACTCATTTCTACCTATTAGCTTTGTAAATTAACAACTTTGTTATTTGTTAAATTTACTAGAGTCTAATAAAACTCTAAATTGTATAAATAGAATTTTTTTAAAGTTTAAATGAAAATGTAAAATTAGATATATAAATTGTTAACATTTTTAATTAAAGCAATTATTTTTTGTTAAATTTTTTATGTTTCGCACTACTTTTTGGAAAAAATAAAAAAGAATTCGAAACTCATATTTTTTAAATTATTCATTTTAAGGTAGCATTATGAACCCAAAGAAGAAGCGCGGGGCAAATCCCGCTTGTCCATATAACCCCAATCATCAGTTAATGTTGGTGTTGAACCCACTTGTATAAAATCATGGGTCCGTCACTGGCTGCGGCTCAATGCCTACACGCCTATTGTATACGGGTAAAATCGGGCCTAGGAGACGTCCCATTTTTTGATAAGGTAAATCGAGCAAGAAACGCGATGAAAAGGAGTCGAGATCGAGGCACGGGTCTCATCGAGACAGAGTCCGGGGGCTCGACGCCCACCCTCGAGAATATCGGAGCCATGACCTAGGGATTGGTCCAAATACCAAAAGACTTCAGAGAGCATTATCGGGCAGCCGAACATGATTAACAGAAGGTCGTGACCCGTGACCAGTCGAGTATTATAGCGTGGATCTCGACACGTACCGGCGAAAGTCTGGTGATTAGTTAAACGGAAGATTTTTATATTTTATGGAATTGTACCTAGAGTAGGACTCCTCTACTATATAAAAGAGGCTCTGATTATTCATTAATAACATTGAAACACGCATACTAAGGCAATACACTATTACTTTCTTTCATTTCCAAGCTCTTACGTTTGTTGATCAGTGTTTCATTATTATAAGCCTAAGATCGAAGATGGATACCTTGTTGAGACTACCGTCAAGTCCGGAATCATCCCCTCTTCCTTTATTTTCAAGCGGTTTGACAATTCATCACATCTTTTATCTGTTTAATCTAGCAATATTTACTATTTGTATTGAGTTGATTCACGTATCCTTAAAACCAATTATAAATTTAATTGTTATCCGTTTTTAGGGTAATAAGTTTAGCACCCACCGTGGGGCTAAGGATAATAATGGAAATTTAATACAAATTTTCATAACACACCCTATTTTACACTTGTTCTTTTAAGTGTCTTTAATTTCAGGTTAAAGTTTAAAATGTCGAACTCCCAATCCGCCCCTTTGAACGTGGACGCTGAATCTGGCCACCATGGAGAGAACGACAATATGATACCTACCAATGAGTTTGAACCTGCTGACCCCAATGAGGTCCCGATCGTAGATCTAATCAATGTCAACTCTCATGTTGCCATCGATGCTAACTTGCCCACCGACCCGAAAAACATCGTTCGCGGGGAAGCCAGGTCGGTAACCAGGGATACGCACGGCGATGAAGGCAATGGGATCAACTTGCAAGTGATCTTCGAAATGCTACAGGCTCAGCAGGTAGTAATAGCCCCGTTGCTAAACCAAAGCCGCTCTCCTAGTAGAATTGAGCCCGAACCGTTTCGGGAAAACACTCGCAGAAATGAACCAGTCACAGAAAGGCCGAGTGATGTTGAACTCGGGACCAACCCCGAGATAATAAAGATGCTTGAGGAATTAATCAAACGGGTGGAATTAGGAGAATATAATCGAAGCCAATGACAAAAAAGTAGAAACCTACAATTCCAGGGTCGACCAAATCGCAGGAGCGCCACTGATACTGAAAGGCTTGGATTCCAAGAAGTTTGTTCACAAACCTTTTCCTCTGAGCGCAACTCCGAAGCTAATCCCAAAGATATTTCTCATGCCCGAAATTCCTAATACAATGGAACGACTGGCCCAAATGAACATGTGACCTCCTACACGTGCCCTATTAAGGGGAACGACTTGGAAGATGATAAGATCGAGTCTATCATGCTGAAAAAGTTCGGAAAGACCTCGTCAAAAGGAGCTATGAGATGGTATCACAACTTACCCCCAGTTCTATTGACTCGTTTGCTATGCTTGCAGATTCCTTTGTAAAAGCGCATGCCGGAGCCATCAAGGTCGAGACCAAGAAGTCAGACCTTTTCAAAGTAAAGCAAGAAGATAACGAGATGCTCGGGGAGTTCATGTCAAGGTTTCAAATGGAATAGATGGACCTGCCACCGATCGCAGATGATTGGGACATTCAGGCTTTCACCCAAGGACTCAATATTCGAATCTCGTTGGCTTCAAAGCAATTGAAGCAAAATCTGATAGAATATCCAGCAGTAACTTGGGCCAACGTCCATAACTGTTACCATTAAATATTAAGGTCGAAGATGATTATCTTGGGCACCTTTCAGGTCTGTTTATCCTGTCAGAGCTAGTGACCGACCCAAAAGAGATATTGATCGTGAACCAAGATCAAATAGAGACCGGTATCAACCATACAATGGAGATCGAAGAGGC